AATAAAAATATATAATATTATAAATTTCAGTTGAATAATAATAATTAATTTGTATTTTAATATAATTAGCATGTGAATAGTTTTAATTAATCAATTAATTAAATTTAAATTAATTTTTACTATTTTTTATATATAGCAATTATAAAAGAGTGCATTTATTGCACCCTTAAGTCACAAAATAAAAAATTCCTATATATTTGTTTTAACTACTCACATATTGATATAAATAAAAGGAATTTAACTCATTTTGAATAAAATCTTAGATTCAAATTTTTGAATAAATAAATAAGTATTGTAAGAGCCTCCTCTTATATGGTCGAACGTAGCTCTTGAATCCAATATGGGTTTCAAATATCGGGTGATTAATAAAAACAAAAAAACCTTTATTTTTTTATTGTTTTTTCATTACATCAAATATCTTTAATTTCTACTAACATTTTAGAAGCTAATTAAGAATAACTTTCGAAAAAATGGGAAGCATTTTATGAAAAATTGTGTTTGCATTGATTGCAACTTTTATAACAGAAATCTTTTCAGAAATTGGGTAAAAGATACATTAATTAATAAATTTGGTATATTTGGATATGGTATTAAATTAAATATTTAAACTGAAAATAATATGAGGATAGTTTTTTAGTATAATTTTTTTATAAAATTTGTATACATCATTAAATAAGTAATATTACATATCCTAATAAAGTAAAAATAACTAATAATCAAATAATACATAAGATTATGTAACAAAAATGCATAGAAAATTATTTCTCAATCATTTTTCTATCAATAATTATTTATCCTAAAATACTATATATGGTATTGTTGATCATGTTGTAAAGTACTGTTGAAATAATTCCACAAAATTTGACACAAATTAAAATGGTTCCTCTTCATTAAATGTTCCTAAGAAAAACGACAATACAACATTGAAACCGATTAAGCTACCATTAAAGGATGTTACATATTCAAAATATAAATCCACCCCTTTACTCTCAAATCTCAATCCCAACTTGCTTCGAAGTTCCTTCCCTTGCTAGCTATAAGCCCAAACAATCAAGAGACCACTACCGATGGCAATGGAGAAGCTTTACTTAATCTTGGTTGCCATGGTAGTCTTCTTGTTGGCTAGCAGGGTAACATCTCAAGCTGCACTTGCTCCTGGTCCGGATAGTCAACCCCTTGATGTGAATTACCTTTTAAATGAAGAGAAGTTTCTTAAAGTTTGTCCGCTTTTTAAACGCATAACTGATAATAACTGTAAGGAAGCCATTGACCAAAACGTATTTCATTATAAAAAAGAAATTATCACCAAGGACTGTTGTAAGCAGCTCGTTTCTTTCGGGCGTCGATGTTTTAAAGCCTATGTGGATTCATTGAAGTTGGTGGGATATTTTGCCTTTACTAAGCAATTGGTGGACCCACATGTAGCACATATTTTCCGTCTGGCGGATGAAGTTTATTACCTGTGCACTCTAAAAATCAAAGAATAGTACACAATTGTGCCTTCCTCTTCTAAAGAAGACTTGTTCCTTCCTTTCTCTTTTCTTATGGTATTTTTCTATTATCCATTCTCATAATAATAATAATAATAATAATAATAAATACAAATCAATCTGTAGTGTTTCTTGATTGTGCCTAAAGGAAAAAAGCGTTGTGACTTACATGATAACAAATTTTTAGGGGCTTAATTGAATTGTGCACAACTTTCAGGGACTTATTGTGTGATTTTCCTTTCTCTGTACAAGCTTGTCCTCGTCACTGAATGGACACTTCTGGGTTTCGGATCCATCCCTGTGGTTGCAGCTAAGAGTATATAATTAATTCCACAATTTCATGGTAGTTATGGCTGCCGGCTATCATCGCTTTGGTAGCTTTAGCCGGAATCCGTAAACACCTCTATCTATCTGGGTTTGTCCCATTATCGAACTCCAGCTCCCCTCCAAGCCCAATCGGTAGGTCCCCAGCACACCGCCGCCATCAATCGGAAACCCACCTTCACCAAGGAACCCAGCTAACCCAGAAACCATTTACAGCTTTTATTATTGCAATTCAAATTCAGGTACATTTCTCTTGCGCCAATTTTAATATTCCTCCTATTTGCTTGATTCTGTGCTGGGCTATGGATGTTTTGTTGTAGGTTTCTGGTCTCTGTTTTACTCCTATTTGCTTCATTCATAGATCAATTTAGGATGTCTTCACTCTTGCATTTGCGTAGTAACATTGACCTTACTTTCAATTTTGCACTTTTGTAGTGATACTTTAGGAACTGATATCATGTCATGGCAAAGGTTTTCTAGTAGAATCATCCTCAATAATTTGAAAAATCTCGGGCGCTCCTCTCATGAATCCAGGTGAACATTTTGTATTGCTAATGGTAAAGTACAGACCTTTACCATCTATGTGTTCTTGTCTTGATAAGAAAAACATAGGTGAACTTAGAGATAAAGAAATAAGAATGGATTTTAGTTTTAGGAGAAAGCAAGTTAGTTTTCATTCCAAACTATGCCCCATAAAGGGGAATACAACTACACTGGGCATACCCTGGCACACTTCATCCATTTATCTCCCAATTAACAAGCTCAAACGATAAACAATAAGATTTACTACAGAGTTTACACTTCCACATACTCCAGTAAACAACCATCTGTTCCTCTCATACCTTAGGGAATATATAGTTGTTGCAAATGCAACCTTCCTTCAAATAGCTAGTGCTCCTGTTCCTTCCTTTTGTTTCCTGCTGTAATCAAGACCATTCAGCACTGCATTGCATTGCGATATAATTAACCCCTATACACTGTAAGACTAAGAACCAGGCCTCATTGCAGAAAATGCAGCAGAAATAAGAATGAATTTCTTCATAACTTCCCTCTAATTTTAATTTTTGAAGAATGTGGATTGGATAAATTAAGCCTTTATGGGTTTTGTTTTTGGCTGATAAATCCTTCTTTTTTTTTTTCT